TGATTGATTTTGTGATAGATAATCGTTTTTAAGCTTAATTTTACAGATTAGAATTAGCCAGCTATTGTTTTTATTTTTCGGAAATACCCCACAGGGTTAGTTACGAATTAATAGACTATTGAACTGCTCTTCCATAGTAATTACTAGTGGCTGGATCTTTCGTCAGCATTAATTATTTTGGATAAGTTTTATACCTTCAAGAATTTAACCAACGGGAGTGGACAAGACGTACCTATTCTATTTTTATTCTCATCATATAAAATTAAAAGATAATCATGTATTGTAGTCAAACTGTAATCGTTTTGATGGTGCGGAACCTTTATAGCTCGCGAGTCTCACTTTTGGTAACTATTTTCATAATAAAATTGACTTATTAGTTAATCACTATTAATTTCTATAAATAAATTAATACGTGGTCTACTCATACGTGGTAGAGCCATGCTGCAGCTATATTTCTAGTATAGTTGCAACACGAATGGATTGGCTCGACAGGGGAAGGACCACGCTCTCACAGAATACCAGCGTAAAATAGCAGCTTAATGCTGCTGTGTTTCGTATGGTGAGTGTAGAGAACCGGAGACCCTTTTTACTGGAAACGAGGCATTCCATCTTAGTCCTCACGGGTCACAACGCATCTACATTTTGATTCGTAATCGAGGATAAATGTAGATGTCTATGGGCCACAACAACCACTTACCATTAGGTGGACTGTGCGCTCGATTGTCACTCTTATCCTATAAAAAAAAAATTGTTACAGGAGAAAATGCCTCGTAAATACATAAAAAAAAGTTGCGCATTATGCTCAGGATGATATGGATAAAGCGATTCGAACAGTGGTATACAATGAGATGATTATGTACGTTGCCGCCAAAGAGTTTAAAATCCCAACAACGACGCTATTTGATAGGATGAAAGGTAAATATAGCAGAGAAAAAGTGGGCAGACCACAAGCTATACAATTTTGAGCCCAACAACGACTGGCATATGCTATCGCAACTATGGAAATGTGGGGATTTGGTCTGACGAGGCAAGAGATATTAGACATAGTTGCGGAGTATATTGAAAAAAAATAACTTGAAAACCATTTTTACCAACAATAAACCCGGACCAGACTGGTTTATAAATTTAAAAAGAAGGCATGGGCTTTCGATTAAAAAAACCACAACCAGTGGAACATATAAGAAGAAAATGATAGATCCATTTGTTATTTCTGAATTCTTCGCACGGCATGAAGAGCCGCTGGCTCATTTGAATCTGTTAGAAAAACCTGATTTAATTTGGAATTTGGACGAGATTTCTCTATCCCTAGATCCGACAAAAACCAAAGTTGTCGGAAAAATTGATTAACCTTGTTCGGGAACAACATATGGGACGGGAAAAGAAAATATTCCATCTTAGCGACCGTAAATACCGCTGGTAAAAAAAATTTGCCTTTAAATTTTTTAAAGGGAAACAAATGTGGGACCAATGGATATACTTTGATTTTGAATTGTTCTATGCGGTTAGTTCTAGGGGCTGGATGGAGTCACCTATATTTCATAATTATATAGATAAAATCCTTATTCCATCCCTCGGTACTGAACGGCCAGTTCTAATAATTTGCGACGGCCATTTACTCATGTCGATGCTGATGTGGTGGAGCTGGCTGTAAAAAATTATATAACTATCTTGAACCTCCCGCCTCATACATCGCATTTGCTACAGCCACTTGATGTTGCTGTATTTAAATCATTTAAATCAAAATGGGATAGAAAGTTAGTTGAGTGGCAACGCCATAATGTTGGAAAAAAATTACAAAAATGTATTTGTGCAAACTTTTGTGGAGATATGGCAACAGACAGATACTGAAGTTATTCAAAATGGGTTCAAAAAGTCTGGAATTTATCCATTAAACCCAGTTGTAGTTCTGCAAAATAAGTATGATCCAGCAGCTTTGAAAAATTTATTAAATATATAAAAAGTCCACGAAGCCAGCTAAACTATGCAGTTCCAAAGTCACTAAGATTAATGTGCATTGATACTTTGAATAAAAAATTAACTATCAGATACTCTACTTCTGAAAATAAGTGTACTACAATTACTGACGAGACCAGTCTTAAATCAGCAAATGTGAAATTATTGAGCCAAGTTTCAAAGAAAGATAGCGAGTTTCTACCATTTGTGGCAAACCAAAAATCAGCATTACCACAATGCTTGAGAAATCAGAAAGATGATCATCATATTAAAATCAGTTTTGAAGAACTCGTCTTAGAAAGGATCCAACAAGATAAAAATGATAATACAACAAAAAAAAGTGTGGCTAAAGGAGCAGAAGTAATCACTCGCTCTTTTAAAACAAAATAAAGAAAAAGATGCAAAAAAAATCTCCCAAGCCAATAACGAGTATTTCAATAAGAAACCCTAAAACTAAGAAGGAATCTGGCATAAAATTTAAAAGGCGTTCAAGCATTTACTCTATGAGTGATTTAATAAACCCCCGGAGCGATGTTGATATAATAGAAAACAGTAAACATTATTTGACAATACAAAAAATACAATGAAGTGGACGATATGAATGACAAGCTCGTGGAAACTGTCCATGCGGTCGGAGCTAAGTTTTGCGAGACCCGCCGCAGAAGAACACAAAAACTCTCCGATCACACTCTTAATCTCATGGCTGTTAGACGGGAGATGAAGCTACATTCTTCAACAGACTTGACAGCATACAGGCAACTGAACAGACAGATCTCCAAATGCATGCGGCGGGACTTACGCAACTTCAATACAGCTCGTATTGAAGAAGCGATTGAGCGGAACCAAGGCTCCAAAGTCTTTGCCAGAGATCTGTCTGCCAGAAAGAGCCAACTGTCAAAGCTGAAGACAGAATGTGGCAGCATCGTTTCCGGGACACCTGAGATTTTGAGTGAGATTGAGAGGTTCTATGGGCAGTTGTACACGTCATCGTTGGAGCCACACGCAAGTGTGAGTAACGATCCAAGAGCGAGTCTCATCCGACACTATTCCGAAGATATCCCGGACGTCAGTCTGAGCGAGATTAGAATGGCTCTCCAGCACCTTAAAAACGGTAAGGCCCCAGGCGAGGATGGAATTACAGCGGAGCTTCTGAAAGCGGGTGGAAGACCGGTACTTGAAGTCCTTCAGAGGCTCTTTAATTCCGTCCTCCATGATGGCATTACACCGGAGGCGTGGAGCAGAAGTGCGGTGGTCTTGTTCTTCAAGAAAGGTGACAACGCTCTCTTGAAGAACTACAGACCGATTTCCCTTCTGAGCCGCGTCTACGTGCTGTTTTCGAGAGTCATTACGAATCGTCTTTCGCGCAGACTTGACGACTTCCAGCCTCCCGAACAAGCCGGTTTCCGAAAGGGCTTTAGCACCATAGACCACATACATACCCTTCGGCAAATTGTACAGAAGTCCGAAGAGTACAATTTGCCACTATGTCTGGCGTATGTGGACTATGAGAACGCCTTTGATTTCGTCGAACTTTGGGCGGTGCTGCAGTCCCTTCAGCGGTGCCAAGTTGACTGTCGGTATATCGAAGTGTTGAAGTGCTTGTACAGTAGGGCTACAATGACTATCCGAGTACAGAACCAGAGTACGAAACCTATCCTATTGCAGAGAGGTGTAAGACAGGGTGACGTCATATCCCCGAAACTCTTCACCGCTGCATTGGAAGACGTTTTCAAGCTTCTGGACTGGAAAGGATACGGTATCAACATCAATGGCGAGTACATCACTCACCTTCGATAAGCCGACGATATAGTCCTTATGGCAGAATCGCTGGAGGACCTAAGCACTATGCTCAATGACCTCAATAGTGTTTCCCAACGGATAGGTCTTAAGATGAACATGGACAAAACTAAGATCATGTTTAATGTCCATGTCACACCTATGCCGGTAGTTGTTGGGAACACTAAGCTCGAAGTTGTTGACGAGTATGTTTACCTGGGACAAATAGTCCGACTAGGTAAGTCCAACTTCGACCGAGAGGTCAATCGACGGATTCAACTCGGTTGGGCAGCGTTCGGGAAATTACGGCACATCTTCTCGTCAGGTATACCTCAAACCTTGAAAACGAGACTGTACACCCAGTGCGTGTTGCCAGTGATGACATACGGAACTGAGACGTGGTCCGTCACTGCTGGCCGGATGAGGAAGCTCAAGGTCGCTCAGCGAGCTATGGAGAGGGCTATGCTCGGATTTTATCTGCGTGATAAACTTAGGAATGAGGATATCCGCAGTAGAACCAGAGTAACCGACATAGCCCAACGGATTAGTAAGCTGAAGTGGCAATGGGCCGGCCATATAGCTCGAAGAACCGACAACCGATCAAGATATAAATTAAAAAAAATTAAAATAAAGGTAAATCATTAATATTGAATCGTAATATAGGAATTAAGGCTGAAGTAAATATTAATCAAGATATAAATTAAAAAAAAAATTAAAATAAAGGTAAATCATTAATATTGAAAAATCGAGTAAAAGAAGCTATAGCATTTGATCTCGGAGATACTATACTGGCTAGATATCATGAAAATAAGAAATGGATATATTACGTCGGCTTGATAACGGAAATAAATAATAATCAGATGGAAAAAATTACGAAATATCTTTCTATAAAATCGTACGAAGAAATAATTACCTAAAATTTTTAAAACCAGAGAGAACTGACATAGATTGTATACCTGTCGATTTAATCGTAAAGAAAATTGAATTGATTCAAATTAACCAAAATCCAGATGAATTCGTACTGAATGATTATAAAGATGAAGTTTATTTTCAATGGTCCAAATACTTGCGACAGTTATTTAGCTTATAAAATAAAAATATGCACCTTAAAATACTTAACGTTACTTTCCACATCCTATGTACCTACAATTATGTCTAAGCGACAGCTGTCATAATCGTCAGCAGCATATCCGCAGCGGGACACTTCTGTGTCTCGTATGTAATTTACGTTGTTCGGTAATTCGGCGCTCTTCAATAAAATTCTTCTTTATGACGAATACTTATAATTTCTTCCAACAAATATATATAATTATGACAAAACTGTATTAATCCTCGTTACAATAATGATGTAGATATAGCCGCGTTAAGTATAATAATGCACGGCGGTAGTTTTTGCCAGCCAGTCCGTCTCAGCTGTCCTCCCGCGCCCGCGCGACGCACCTCCTTTGTGGTCCAGCAAGGGTGGGCGTAAACATACGTCAATACAGTAAGTTTTCTATTCTATTCTATTCTAAACCTATAATGTTAAATAAGCTATATTCATTACTAGGGGATCTCTTACCTTATGTATTACAGCATTTACTTATATATCATGTAGGGTTAAAATTTAATTTATCTTAAGCTATTACACTGATCGCGATCGCTGTGCTATGACTCGCTGAGGAGTTTCGTCTCCAAACTATGTAATCTTTGTACAACCTTTAGACAATGTAACCTTTGTAAAGAAAAGAAAAACCTTTGATGACATCTGTTCAGATATGATGGAGTAACATCGAAAAACTTTTATCCCCTTGCCCGAAGTATAAATTGCTGCTCGAGTAGTACACAAGTCTTTGACTTATATAGAATTTAACAAAAAGTTCAAACAATCGTGAAGATACATTTCACTTTACAACAACACCTAACTAAATAAAGCCTCTGCAAGAAAACTGCCTTACAGTACTTAACCTGTAAAGTTTTTTAGTACAAGTCAAGGTAAAACTAATAAAAACAATGTCCGCGCGTTAACATACATAACAAAATCATTTCCTTCATTAACGTACATAGGGTAATCTATAAGATCAAAGAAAACCTAAGATTAAAAAACCAAAAGTAGTGATGTAAATGTCTTACACTTTAATTCATAGTTAGCTGCCACGGCAGGAGTTCAATGTTTCAGTTTCACTCCGAATTCAGTCTGGACATTTTACAGTGTAAATATGAAATGTATTAATAACTCGACTACAAAAGCCATCTTGTACGGAATGATAGAACGAGTAGAAAAACCTTTACGTGCCTTATGTGCTAATTGAAACTGCATTTATTCTGAAGAAGCTGATTCAAAAACCAAAAAAAATAAACTTTCAAATATGAAACAAATGGGAGGTTAGTGGAAACAGACCAGATCATGGGGGGATATTTGCCATAGTTGCCACGCTTGGCAAGCGGGTTGGCAACACAGTTTTTTTATTTTATTACGAAGACCCTGCTGCCCAGCTCCTGATTTGTTTCTCTCTGTCGCCTCTACGACACACTCGGGATGATATGGGGTAGTGGATATTCTTATATCTATCTCCTATGAGTCAATCCGTGGGGGAGGCCTATATTGAACAGTGGACTTTAATAGGCTGTAACGGTAACGATAAACATCGAAACGAAAAAAGTAAAACATAAACTAGTATCATTTAAATTTAAAAAGAAACATGAAGGTGTTGAATGAATATGAACCACTCGGTACATATTTCAAGGTTCGATTTCATTTGGTTGTTTCTTTGGTTTTTGAATTAACTTCTTCAGAATAACTACAGTTTCAAGTAGCACATAAGACACGGAAAGGTTTTTCTACTTCTATAGTTACAAAAGAAATTCATGACAAATGTATTTTTATCTCATATACTTTTATATGTTTACAAAACACGTTTACATAATATTGTACATATTTTACCAGATCTCTCACGAAAAAGGTTCTGCTCAAGTGTGTGTTTTCATATGCCTTTGCAAATTACTTTTTTGAATACATTTATATTCACAGATATTACATGAAAAAGGTTTTTCTCCAGTATGTATTCTCATATGCTTTTGCAAATCACTTTTTGTAATACATTTATATTTACAGATATGACACGAAAAAGGTTTGTCGCCAGTATGTATTTTCATATGTGATTGCAAATTATTTTTTCGAATACATTGATATTTACAGATATAGCACGAAAAAGGTTTTTCTCCAGTATGTATTTTCATATGTGAATGCAAATTACTTTTTCGAATACATTGATATTCACAGATATGACACGAAAAAGGTTTTTCTCCAGTATGTATTTTCATATGTGTTTGAAAATTACATTTGTAAATACATTGATATTTACAGATATGACACGAAAAAGGTTTTTCTCCAGTATGTATTTTCATATGTGTTTGCAAATTACTTTTTCGAATACATTGATATTTACAGATATGACATGAAAATTTTTTTTCTCCTGTATGTATTTTCATATGTCTTTGCAAATCACTTTTTATAACACATTTATATTCACACATATTACATGAAAAAGGTTTTTCTCCAGTATGAATTTTCAGATGTGTTTGCAAATTACTTTTGTGAATACATTGATATTTACAGATATGACAGGAAAAAGGTTTTTCTCCAGTATGTATTTTCATATGTGTTTGCAAATTACTTTTTTGAATACATTGATATTTACAGATATGACATGAAAAAGGTTTTTCTCCAGTATGTATTTTCATATGTCTCTGCAAACGATCTTTTTTAATACATTTATAATCACAATTATTACAACAGTACACTTGTTCAGCGACGTGCGCTTTAAGATGTGCCAAAATGCGGCGTTTTTGAGATGTTTTAAATTCACAAATATCACAATTAAATGTTTCCTCCATTAGTTGTGGTACTGGAGTTTGTTCAACTTCTGAGTTCTTTTGCGTCTTATGATTGTATGAAATGTGTTTGGCGAGAATGTTTTTTGTTGATGCCCCTGACGTTTTTTTCGTAAGTATATTTACACTCTTTTGTTTCAGAATTTTCTTTTTCATAATCTTTGCAGGATGCTTTCCTTTTTTATTAATTGGGGGATTATCTTTTTTGACTTTAGGCTTTGATTTAATAGTAGGGCTTTCTAAATCGAGGTTTCCTTTACTAACATCGTTTATGTTACAATCAATAGAATTTGATTTAATCTTCCTCTCAGACAGTTTTGAAAAATTATTTGTCGGTGTGATGTATCGTTCTGAAATACATACGAATTAAACATTTAATTTATTGTAAGACACCACAAACTGTGAACACTGGGCGGAGTTTATGCCTTATGGCATTCTCTATTGGTTAACCCAGGGAGAAAAAGAGAAATTACAATATTTTACCTGATTATACTCTTGTAATGTTTCTATATACATATAAAGTATTTTAGCCAATTACTTTGAGTAATGTATGTCATATGCATTTTTGGAGGGAATGAATGGTAGAGAGACTATATTCGAATGATAATGATGACGTTCTTCTGACCTTGTTACAATTACTAAAGTGGATGGAGAGTAGTGGACTGTATTTATACTTTAACTGGCGGTGTGAGGTTAGCTATACTAGGGGACTGCTCGAAGAAAAGATGGTACTTTTAACTATACTATATTCACTATTTACAAAGGGTTCGGCACTATTAACTAAATCACTATTCAAAGAGGGAGGTCTTCAGAATGGAGTCTTCTTCCAGGTTTTCTGTCTTGATTCTTCCTTGTTGTCTTCTCGAGTGCCGCTTCCGAATGAACGCCCACGGCCTAAATCGCCCTTCTTATATTCCCGAGGAGAGCGCTTCATTCCGTGGGGTTATCCGCCCGATGGCAATTTTCGCCGCACGCGCGCTGATTGGTTGCCCGATATCGCGTGATCAGCGCCGGCGTGCGGGGTGCGCGGGACGTAACGGGGAACGAAGGGGCGACGGGGCGGCGGGTCTCTCGCTGTCCGTAACATTCTCCCCCCGGCGTAGCCTTGCGAGCCTAGGCTGCACTCGGGAGGACGGCGATCCTCCTGACCGGCCGCCGCAGCAATCCGCCCCTGGTCCTCACTTCGAAGTTCCGTACCACGCCGTCTGGTCCGGGAAAGGTCCTCGTTATAACTCCTCTTGGCCACACGTTCCGCGGCATGGTCCCGTCTGCCACCACGACGAGGTCTCCTTCTTGTACCGGGCGCTGCTGCACGTCCCTTGAGTCTCCGCGCGCAACCAGCGTCGGCAGGTACTCCTTCACCCAGCGCTTCCAGTACTCGTCGGCAAGTCCCTGCGCCGCTCTCCACGCTCGACGATCATTAGGCGTGCACGGCGTGGTCACTGGAAGGCTCGATGGTCCCAGCAGCAAGATGTGGTTGGGTGTCAATGCCTCTTCTTCGTCGATGTCGACCGGTACGTGCGTCAACGGTCGAGAGTTAACGGTGTTTTCGGCTTCTGTGAGGAGCGTCGCTAATGTCTCCTCCCGTGGGCTCTTCTGATTGAGTGTGGCTTCGAGCGCGGTCTTCACCGAACGCACGAGACGCTCCCATGCGCCTCCCTGGTTCGGCGCACCCGGCGCGATGAACTTCCAATCCGTCCGCCGAGTCAACGCGTAGTCCTTCAGCAGGGGTGCCCACTCTTCCATCGCCCGTCGTAATTCGGTGTCCGCCCCATGAAAGTTTGTCCCGTTATCCGAGTAGATGACCCGTGGCCACCCACGCCTAGCCGCCATGCGCCGCAATGCCGATATCGCCGAGTCCGTCGTTAGGGAATAAACTATCTCTAGATGTACCGCGCGCGTCGTCAAACAAGTGAATAACGCTATCCACCGTTTTTCATGCCTACGTCCTATTGTTACCGTTATAGGCCCGAAATAGTCGATTCCGGTGTAGGTGAATGGTCGCGCGGATGCCCCTAACCGTTCAGGTGGTAGATCTCCGATAACCGCTGGCCGTGGTGTCGCCTTGCGTACCCTGCACCGCAGACATCTCCGCTCCACTTCTCGTACGGTCGGTCGTAGTCGAAGTATGTGATATCTCGTGCGTAGGTCGTTCACTACCCGTTCCCTGTTGGCGTGGCTTGCTTCCTTATGCGCCTTCTCCACAAGCAGCTTTACAAACTGGTGGCGTCCGTTCAGGATGATGGGCCTCTTCATTTGGCTGTCCACATCGGCTGCGTCAATCCGTCCTCTAGCTCGCAGTACGCCATCTTCGAATATGGGGTCGAGCTTCCTTAACGCGCTGCCGGTTGCCAAGTTCCTTCCTTTCTGCAGTCGACTGATGTCTTCAGCAAAACTCTCTTGTTGACTTCGCTCTATCCACATCCGCTCTGCTTTCTGGATGTGGTCCAATGTTAGTCCGTGCGCCTTTCCTCTCATGGCATCGACGAACTGAAATATCCGAGCGGTGGCCCTGACCAATCTCTCGTAAGAAGAGAACTTCTCGATGTCTGGCAGGTGTGGAGCGCCCCTGGTGTCGCTCTGGTGCGCCACGACTTCCTCCAGCTCGTCATCTTCATCCCCTGCCTTCTCTTCCCGTCGTCGAGGCCATCGATCTTCCTCTTCGTACAGGAATGGCGGTCCCGTAAACCATTTGTCGCTCTCTTCCTTGTACGTATAATTAATGCGCGTTGCCTGATCCGCGATGTTGTCTGCGGTCGGTATCCACCTCCATTGCTCGGGTGACGTCTTCTCCGATATCTCCCCTAATCTATGTGCTACGTATGGGGTGTAACGCGCCGTATCGTTTTGAACCCAATGGAGCGCCGTAGTGGAGTCTGTCCAATAAACTACCCTATCGGCTACCACTCTGTGCTCGCCTTGCACGAATTCCGCGAGTCGCGCGCCTATCAGATTCGCCTGTAATTCTAACCGTGGTATGCTTTGCGCCTTTATCGGGGCGACTTTCGCCTTGGCCGCCACTAATCGTACCTTAACCGTTCCGTCGCGGTATCGTAATCGCCAATACGCCGCGGATGCGTACGCACGTTCGCTTGTGTCGCTGAACACGTGGAGCTGACGCTCTACCACTCCCCCCGTAGGAGCATAGCACCTAGGCAGCCGCAGTCGTGATACTTCCTCGACGACTCGCAGCCACCTCTGGAATTCCTCAGCTGCCTCCTCGGGTAGTTCGTCGTCCCATCCGACCTTCTTCATCCGCCACAGGTCTTGCAGCAGGATCTTGGCGGTGATGGTGAGGTAGCTCAGCAGTCCAAGCGGGTCGAAGACCGACATGACTGCACTCAACGCCTCTCTCTTGGTCGGTGGCCTCTGCAGCGTCTTCACCTCGTTCGGTACCCGGTTCATGGATGTGTTAAACGTTAAGGCGTCTTCATTGGCCATCCATAATAGCCCTAGGGTTCTGCCTGGGCTGTCTTGTCTCAAGCCTACCTCCTTAGGCTTGCTCGCTAATAATTCCTCCGGCTTGTCTTCTAGTAGGGCTGCGTGGTTCGAATTCCAGCCCGCTAAGGTGAAGCCGGCCTGCTGGTGGACTTCCGTAACCTGCCTCGCAGTGTTTACCGCTTCCTCTACCGTAGCATAACTGTCTAGGTAGTCATCCATGTAGTGACTACGTACGATAGCGTTAAGTGCCAACGGATGTGTCTCAGCGTGTGCGCGCGCGTTATGATCCCTAACGCTATGTGCGAGAAACGGCGAGCTCCTCGCACCGAAAATCATTGAAGTCATAACGTATTCCCGCGGTGGGCTGGATCGCTCGTTACCTCGCCACAGAAATAATTGCGCGGGTTGGTCGCGACGGTCAATCTTAACGCGTAAGAACATTTCCCTAATATCCGCTGACACGGCTATTTCGTTCTCCCTAAATCTGAACAGTATGCCCGGTAGGTTCCGTAACAAGTCGGGGCCGTCAAGCAAATAATCGTTCAAACATTTACCGGACGCACGCGCTGCCGCGTCGAAAACCACTCTCGTCTTCCCAGGCTTGTTCGGGTTTCGTACTGCGAAGTGGGGCAGGTACCAGCTCCTAGGGTCCTCTCTCTCCGTCCCCTCGGCTTCCCTTGCGTATCCTTTCGCCAGGAGGTTATCTATTTGTGCGGTATAGGCGTCTCGAAATTCCGGCGATTTGTCCATCTTCCTCTCGATCGTCCGCAGTCTTCTAGCAGCCATCTCGTAGCTAGGAGGCATCCGCACGTCGTCGTCCTTCCATGGCAGTCCCACCTGGTATTGATCGCCGACCTTCTTGACGGTGCGCTGGAATATCTCGACAGCGCGCTCCTCTTCCCGTCGCGGCATATTCCTTAGCGAGATACCGATGGAATCGATCTCGTACTGCCGTTTGAGGAGTTCCGTTATCTCCTCGTCTTGACTCGCGAACGTTCGGATGTCCCTATCTATCCGTCCGCTACTGCTTACGACGTGTAACACGGTTTCACCGTCCTCCCTACACGTGAATCGCGGCACGGTTCCCTGTATCACCCATCCTAATAACGTACGTGCAGCTATAGGCTGCCTTCGACGCCCTATCCTCAAATTACGGGTGATTATTAAATGCCAATTGTCGGCTCCTAATAATAATCTCGGTTTGGCGTCCTCATAGCAAACCGAGCTCGGTAGGTCGCGTAAATGCTTTAGACGTAAACACTCTTTATTTACCGACTGCGAACCTATCTGTAAATTCGTTACTGTACGCGCATTTATTCTATACATCTCGCTGCGCGATTTTCCACGTATGCCTATGTTAACTAGCCTGCTATCGGCCTCGCGCTGACTATTGCTTATTCCCCTAATATTCAGCGGCTTTACCGGTCCTTCCGCTCCTAACTCACGCGCTAAGTCGTCATCGATCAACGAAATAGTCGAACCTTCGTCGAGCAACGCGTACGTGTCTATTTCCTTACCGTGTGGTCCACGTAACGTAATGGGACACACTTTCAACAATACGGATGCATTCCTACCGACGTTAGACGCGACGAGTACGGTCTCATCTGGTTTGGCCGATGTCTCAGGTGCGCGGGTCTTGCGGGTGTGAAGGAGGGCGTGGTGGGGGGCGTTGCAGCCGTCGATGCCGCATTTCTTTGCTTTACATTTAAACCGTCGGTGTTTACTATTTAAACATAGAAAACATACCCCGTCTTCTTTTACCCAATTCCACCGGTCGTCCACACCCATTTGCGCTAACTTCCTACACTTGGCGATCGCGTGTTCACCTCCGCAGCACATACAAGAGGCACTACCGGTGTCCTCCTGTGCGGTGAACGTTTTTACGTCGCGAGCCCTATTCCCTACGCGG